GGTTTGGGATGGGTTGGGCACCGGCCATTCGTCCGGAACAGTCCACCTGTAGGGCGCCAATCCCGCCCGTTTGATGAAGGTGCTGTAACTGGCTCTGCTGTCCCGGCCGGCCGGGCCCAGGGCCGGGCCCACCCCAATCAGACACGGCTAACTTGGTTCGGGGACGCGCACCTGCCGTAGGGGCGGTGAGCGATGGGGGCCAGCCCGGCGCTATGGGCGCGCTGGGCGGCCCTCTTATTCCCCCTCCCGCTCGCCGCCGCGGGAGAGAAAAAGATCTCCCTCCGGGCACTAAACGTTTGTCTAATTGCTTATGGACTTTGTGTCCCATGCCTATACTTGCGAAGTGAAATATTGCCCCTCCATTGAGTTTGTGTGCTGTGCTATAGTAAATGTTCTTAGGTTGGGGCGCTGCGTCTAGCTCACAGCGCTAGACATATATTAGTGCAACGAAACGGCTTCGATCTGGACTCATGGCTAGAAAAAAATGTTCTCAGTGCGTTCAGTTACAACGTGCACACGCCATACGGAGACGGAGGGGGGCCGGGCGGGGGGTGAAAATAATATGGAACCCCCATTGGGCTCAGGAACATCAGCGGAGTTCAAAGGTGGCCCCATGATATTTTCAACACCGGGTTGCATATACTATATCATGGGCCGGTACGGGGCTTCCAGTGACGTACCGGGTGTAACTGAGAATGCACAACAGTGTTGCGGGATTGCATACCCGCCAGGGCTGCAGGGGCCATGGCGCCTTACTGGCTAACTGGGTAGGCAAACCCGCAACACTGTTGCGCATTCTCAGTTACACTCGGTACGTATCACGCGTGTAACAGTCACAGAGAGCGGCCGCGGCACACGGTGACGAAGTGAGTGCGCTTGACGGGCCGGCTGCGGGTAACAAACGGTTGTCCAGCGGTGCCAGGCCAGCCTCACCCTCGTCGGGAGGGAGCGGAAATCGGAGAACCAGTCAGACGTGCCTGAGAGATCAAGACAGGGTGAGGGGAGTGTAGGGCTGACCAGGTTGACCTACCCCTTCCTCTTCCCCCCTTCCCGGTTGGGGTTTCGCAACAAGGGCGTCTGCTGGTTCTGACTCCCCCCCCCCCTCCAGCTCTCTCTTTCTCTCTTACCCTCTCTCACCCTCTCTCACCCTCTCTCACCCTCTCTCACCCTCTCTCACCTCCGCAATGTTCACGTGGAATGATGTTGACAAGCTAAGTGAGCCGTGTCTCCCCGCGCGTCCCTCGCCCGGAGTCTCGCCTGTGGAGACTCCCTCCTAATGCTGAGATCAGTGTGGGCCTATGGTGTGTACCGGGGGGGGGGGGGGCTGTACACTTCCAACAGGGAGTCCCGAGTCACCCACCTACGCCCCGCCAGAGTTACGAGAGCGCACACCGGGTGACTCAGAGAAGACGCAAGTGCGGTCGGGTTTGCCTACCTAAGGGGCCATGGCGCCTTACGGGCAGTGCGAGTAGGCAAACCCGCTCGCACCTGCGTCTTCTCTGAATCATCCGGTAGAAGCGTGGCGACCTGGCGACCTAATCTCATTACATATTTAGTATCCATGCTTGTTAAAAATATACTGAAAAGTGCTGCTTTGTAGTTGGAGTGCTCTGCGGACAGTCTGAATGGCAAGATGTGTGTTGTTAATTACAATTTTAAATTGAATATTTTTAACGAGTTACAAGCACTTTGCAACAACATATTTTGTAATAAATTATGACAAAATTGTAAGTTTGCGAGAATATTTTTCATCGTGTCTATGAGTGTTTATCTCGAGTTGTGTGTGTGCGCGCAAAGCGCTCGCGCACATGAGTGGGGAAAGGGGGTGAATCTCGCCGAGAGCCTTCGACAGTGCTCACTGCTCACCCGGCGGGCGGGAGAGCATCTCTCCCGACGCGTTTGTTATTCCTCTCCTCAAGGATCGAGGAAGACAAACATACAGTTCCAAGTGTTCCGTTTGAATTATTAGGTGAGCCCACGCGAGCAAATCTGAAACGGCGTGAGCACTTTGTCCGGCGCGCACCTTCCTTTCCTTCCCTTTTTCAATTTATCTACAACTACTTCTGCTCGATCGTGTTTATCGGGTTTATGATAGCGCGTTGCGGGTTTGCTTGCTCTCTCTGGCGCTAGGTTGTGAGAGACCCTACCCTTAAATGTCTAAGGATATTTATTTTACCTAGCACCGGTGTGCATACCTAAGTTCACACGTACAATATTGTAAGTAGCTAGTTTCTAAATGTGTGTCGCTAATTACGACATTGCACATGAAGTTAGTTACGCACACAGAAGTCCGGTACTAG